AGCCCCTTCAGGGGAGTGGACATGCTATAATCTTGTTTCCATTTTCCCTCCTTTTGGGATTTTGGGCTCACATCTATAGGGATTCAAACTACACAGTCAGCCATGTGTGATTCAGGCGCCCTAACCACCACATCATAGGCTGGACCATTCCTTTATTTTTAACTGTGTTCAGTGTGGGACCAGCAGATGGCATAATGTCACATCACTAGATTCCCACATAGTCAGCTGTGGTTCAAGTCCCAGACCCGGTGGCTTAAACTCACGGGAGGCATGAGTACTTGTGTGTCCAAGATCCCAAGAGGAGAATGGCAAAGAAGGGATTGTGGCATGGCCATTCCCCTGGGGGGGGGGGGGGGTGATTTCTTGCTTTCTGTCTCTCTGTCTCTCTGGTGAGTGTATGTGACCTACAACAAAAATCTCTCTTAAAAAATAAAATTCGTTCAGTGTGAAAGAAATTTAGTAAGGATTCCTGTCTCTGAACTGTTATAGAACAGATGTCACAAACCATTTATAGAGTGAATTTTAATTTTTCTATTAAATTTCCATGAAATACTGAAAAAGTTTTAATAAGACATAGTATAAAATATACAAAATGTATTTAATCAGTTTGATAATTGTGTTACTGTTTGCAAGACTGACGTATACCAACCTTTACATTTCTCCTTTAGATGTTTGTGACAATACTGCTTATAATACTTTTTTCTTTTTTTTTTGGAGAGGTTTTTGCTATAGGGCACGTGCCCTCACCAGAGAGAAAGAGAGACATAAAGGGAGAAATCACTCCCCAGGGGGGGATGGTCACGCCACAATCCCTTCTCCTCCATTCTCCTCTCAGGATCTTGGGCACGCACGCCTGGCATGAGTTTAAGCCGCCGGGTCCAGAACTTGAACCGCGGTCGACTACGTGGGAGTCCAGCAACATAGCCTTTACATTAACTGCTGGTCGCAGTACTGCTTATAATAACAAAACCCTGGAGACACAATACTTGTGCACAGTAGGGAAATTGGTTAGTAACCACACAGTAAGATATTACGCAGCTCTGCAAAGAATGGCCTGTCTGCCATGTCTCAAAGCCTTGCCAGTCAAAGATGGAAACCTAGGATACTGTATCAGTATGATCCCATTGATGGAAAGAAAGAGGAGAAAGAAAGAAAGAAAGGAAGGAAGGAAGGAAGGAAGGAAGGAAGGAAGGAAGGAAGAACCTACTGAAGTGGGAAACAGAGAGAAAGAAAGAATAATTGGGACCAGCATTTGGCATAATGGCTATGTCGCTGGACTCCCATGTAGTAAACCACGGTTTGAGTCCCAGACTCGGTGGCTTAAACTCAAGCCAGGCATGTGTGCGTGTGCGTGCATGCCCAAGATCCCAAGAGGAGAATGGAGGAGAAGGGATTGCTGCATGACCATCCGCCCTAGGGGGTGATTTCTAACTTTCTGTCTCTCTGTCTCTCTCTGTCTTTCTGGCGAGCCCACGCACCCTATAGCAAAAAAAACTCTCTAAAAAAATAAATAAATAAATAAAAAAGGATAGTCACCTAGGTATGATATATACATACTTTCATTAAGTAAACACAAAAAACTTGATAATTACCTTTGGGACTAGTGGAGACAGAGACAGAGAGAGACTTCTCTTTTTATGTCACATCTTTCTTTAATAGAGAATTTTAATTTTCTATTCTTAATTTATATCAACAAATGTATAAGATTAGAGTAATTATCAGATATTTCTAGTTTCTTCCTTGTACTT